ACCTTTTTATGATCTTTAATCACATTTAATCCAAATTAACTTACCTTGTGAGTTTCCACCCAGATCAGTGAACTCTAGGATTGAATTTTGGAAGAAAAATCAACTTCATCATGTTCTTATTAAGACTTGTCCCCAGCATCTGAAGCAAGTTGTACCTCTTTATATATGTCACTCTTCAACTATTTCATATGTATTTGAAACTGAAATCTGATTTACCTTTGTGCTATTTTATTTTGCCTGAATTTAGGCAACTTATCCCCCTTTCTCTCCTTTTTTGCACCTCTCCTTTGTATCTTTCTTCCTCAGGTTCAAATCCTTGAATTTCTTTTTTCCTTTGTTAACTGGAACTATTAGAAATCATTAAATTACCCAACACAAGAATATCTTACATTCTTTTACCTAGTGAAACAGAATCAGTCCAAATGATACTGTATGTCTTTTTTTAAAATTACCTTTTCCTTCAAATGGCCCTCGGAGCAAGAGTTCAAGGAGCAGTGTGATCTTCTAGAATCTCTATGCTCATCTAGTATTTAAGCTGTATTACTAATGCCTTTATGGTTATGGGCAATATGAGTCACAAAATTCAAAGCTAAACTGAATAATTGTTTCCAGACTAGAAACTCCAACTTATAGAGTATCTCAATTACACAGAGATAGGATTAAATACTGATTACTGAGAAAATAACTTCATCCCCTTGGTTGGGATTAGAGTAACGTCTTTATCACAACCCACAATTAAAAACTGTGACCACCAACAATATTAAAGGCCTTCTACAATATATCATTTAGGGCAGGGATACACATGGGAGCTGTAACAGATAGAAAAAGTTAAGCTTCTAAAATTTTCTATTTTTAAATAATACTTTTCAAAATAAAAATTATTACCAAATAAGACATTTTTAGTAAATATTTAGGTAGTGTATTTAGCATTAAAATTACCTTTCATTTTTCTAAAACATGCAAAACATTTAAAACAGTAATTTAGGTCTAATTAATACCTCCAAATACAATTTCACTGTTCTCAGCAAATTCACAAATAGAAACTTGATTTGTAATCAGTTAAGACCTCTCGTGACATTTCTTTGGAGCTACACATAAAATCATTCTAAATTTTGAAATAATTCCTAAAATTATTTCCATAGTTGGAAAAAATTATAATAATTAGATTTTGATTAGTCAAATTGAACTTAATTATTTAGACATGACATGGTGTGATGTGGTCTGGTTAAGAACAAGTGACTCATTGAGCTAAGAAAAAAGTTAATCAGAGAAGATTATTCTGATAAAAAACAAACTCTGGCAAAAGTATCCTTCTGATAAAATTTTTAGGGGCACATTCTCCCAGTGACTATCACAGATAAGGCTCTTACCAACTACACATTTCTGATTATTTAAAGAAATAACCAAAGGTAATTGCATTGATGTTTTTTATTTCATGTATGAAAAAATATAAAAAACCTTTTATTTTCTTTCAAATAATTTAAGTAGAATAAAGTGGGTGACAGGGTCTTTCAGATTTTAGAAAACTCTATTGTGGTGTCTTTTATTTTTAACAGTTATCAAAGAAGAGCTTAAATGAGAACACATTTTCTCTCTCTTTTTTTTTACTTTTAAAATTTATCTTTATTGTTGAGAGTATTACAGGTATCCCATTCCCCCCCCCC